CCCTCCTGGAACAGAGACCACGATGACACAGCGTCAACGCGCTCCGGGGGAACCCCCGGACCCTCCAGCGGAGGACACACATCGCACAGCGGGGACAACAGCAGTGAGCAAGGTAGGAACAGAGCCCTCACGCTTTCTTAGATGGCAAGATGTGCTCAAGGGACTGGTTACTGTCTTTCTGATGTTGAAATGTGCTCTGGTACCAGGGGTTTTGCGCTGAGAAAGGTCTATCTTCCTTTTTTTTTTTTTTTCTCTTATTTTGACACTTTTTTCTCCATCTCCTCCTAGTAAAGGGATTGGTATCTTTATTTCTTCGACCCTGCCAGCAGGCACACTTTAGAGGAACATATGTACCAAATTTGCAGTATGCTTAATAAAAATAAGAATTGAGAAGGGTTTGGTTTTTTTCCCTTCGTTCAAATGGATTAAAAGATGAATCTTCAAAACCAAATGTAATTAAGATTGTAGAAATGCTCGCTAATATTTCAAAGATACCATTGAAACTTCACTGCATACAAGAAGAGAGATTTTAGCTGGCCCATTTGACAACATCCTGAGCAATGCTTTTATTTACTTCTTTTTACTCAATTCCAATTTAATTGAATGCAAAAACATTCTGTTTGAGTGTCAGGCCAGAGTAGCTGATTTAGCAGGGCGAGTATGAAACGAGCTTGGTGCAATGGAAGTGGGACATACTACAAATAATCAGTGCTGTCTCAGAAACTCTGAAATCTAAAAAGCTGAATTTCTGGATTTTTTTTTTCTAAGAAGCTGTTTTGAATGCTTTTTCTGAACAGACCAACTGCAGCGGATTTTGTGTTAATTTAATGCAATTAAAATTTAAAAAGGATCCTTAATCTGAATATAAAAGAGAGTGCTTTATTGAAGTTGACTCTGAACTCACAATAGGTATATACTTTTAAATCTGGTTTTATGATCATGTTTCATTCAAGTGCTGTTAGACAACAAAGGAATTGTGTTTCCAAAAAAAGGTTGAGCAGTACTGATTAGCATTGCAAAGTCTGCATTTAACAAGATTAGTTTTTAAACTAAACCAGTATATTTTAATTTTTTATATGCATGGACCTAACGTACATCTCTTTATAGAATTTTAAGTATTCGAGACTCGTTATTGTTTAAAGAAAAGTTGCTGACTTCATCGCAAGTACAGCCTAGTAAAAATGAGGCCTGGAATAGTAAACTGTTGCAGAGCTGAGGCAGAAACTGGTAACCTTCTGACCTCTGACTTTTACTGGAAAATGATATGCAACATAAATTCAGGGGGCCTTTTTTCTTTCAAGTATGTATACGTATATATTCTAGTGGTGCTGTTCACAATGCTGTAGTTGAAGTGGTGTCAACATGTTCATTATAGCCCCTTGCTTTTGGAGCAAACTTTAAATCCGTGGGGGTTTTTTAAGGGTGAAAAAGCTGCTGCAAAAAAATAGGCTTTGAACTAAAACATGGTGTTTTGAGAGGGTTTTTGTGCTCGGATAGGGCTGTTCCTTTTATTAGACGGATGTGCGTGTGTTTATGTGGATATGTGCGTGGACAAAACAGCTGTGGGGAGGCTTGCCAGCTTGCTCCTAGACTACTTTGGAAATTGAGATACTCAGTTCCTGGTATACTTTTAAAGATTTTTTTCAGGCTTCATTTTTCTCCTAAATATGACATTTTAGTAGTCTGGAGTGCCGATCATATCTGATGTCTTATCATCGCCATCCTGGTCAGCTCCTAGCAAGGTGCATGCTGTAAACTCAGTCAGGAAGAGTTTTGTAAAGTGAGTTTCAAGCCTGAGTGCTGCTAAATATCTGCAGAAGGACTTGTCAGTGACGCTTTATCCAGTTCTGAAACTTTTACCCAAATCCCAGTGGTTTGTTGAGGCTGGAATTGCTGCCAGTGCTTGATGTGTGTTTTGTGAAGAAGGCTCATTGCATTCAAACTTTAGGGAAGATTAAAAAAACAGAAAGAGGGAATTTGCTAACTGGAGCTCTCAGGTCAAATTTGGGAAAGGTGTTTTGGAAAGGAGACCCTGTCCAGAAGGTCTCTGTTACTAAGACTTGCCTTCAGGCCACTTGCCACCTGTGGAAATGGCATTGTTTTTGAAGAACAGGAATGTAGGAAGGGTAGCAGTGGTTTTGCTGAGCCTTGCTTTATGTCTTGTTTGTGTGAAATGCTCTGAAGGTTGAGACTATGGGGGAATCTTTTCTGTTTAAGTACACCCACAGCTGCATGTACACCTTCTGGTAAAAAAAAAAAACAACAAAAAACAAAGCATGATTTTTAGTCTTTCCCTGTGGGGAAGAAGTCAAACAATACGACCCTGAGGGTCCAAAATGGAAGAGAAGAAAAAGATAGCAAATATCCTGCCTGTCCCCAACTGTCTTAAATTTCCAAATGCTGGGATTTGATGGCTTTTCTTCTGTGACCTGATGTTAGGAGTGCAACACTGTGGTTAAACTCCTGTATTTACCTCTGCTGGGTGCTCTTCTTGGCAGCAGAAGGAGCCAACATGGCACTGCCACAGTGACCGGGTGCTGTGGAGGGGTGGCAGTGAAAGGCTGGGGACCCCAGCTTGTGCTTGAGAGCATAGGAGTTAACTCGAGATGCATGTGTTGCGTGACATATATTCAGTATATTATGGGCTTCCCTATTTTTAGGAGTTTGTAAAAGTTCCTTTTGGTTCCATCTGTCAAGAGCACGTTTGCCATTTAAAAAAAAAAAAAAAGGCAAATCTGATCACCAGAAATAAAACCGTCTAAAACTGTCTGGTTTTAGGTTGTTCTCACAACCTACTTCCCTAGTTGGGGTAGGTAAAAGCACCTTCTGAGCCAGGTTTCCAACCTGGCTGAAAGTATCACAAGGATGTACATATGAGCTTTGCATTTTCAGAGAGGCACACAGACTGGAAAGCTTAAGCCCTTTAGCAAGACTTTTCTCCCATAGTCCTTAACCCAGGCTATGTTAAGGTCTATTTTTGGACTTTTAGGAGATTTTTCTTCTTTACCTTGCTCATCACTACAAATCCTTACAAAGTGTGTTTTTAACCTATTTATGTCATAATATCCAGCACACATTGAATGATTGCCTTTGAAAACAGGAGAGATGTTCTTTCCTGTAGACATTTTAAAGTCTTTTTTAACATGTAAATTTATTTACTTAGTAAATAGTAATGACTCCCAGCTGCTTCGATCTATTGTAGAAATCCATATTTAACTGCTAGGAAGCTGTTCTGGGGTCTCGTGCCACTGAACAGCAGGGTATGTTATTGCATAGTACGTTGACACAACCTCTTCTAAAGGCCTGGTATTGTGTCATCACAGGGGATAGTTATAGTACAGGAATGCAGAATAATATTATGAAAAAGTTTTCCCATTGCTCTGAACTTAACGGGAAGGGCCTTTGAAGGTCTGTCTCCAAATGGTGCAAAGAGATCTGAATTTATGCAGTGGACAAATAACTTGCTAAATTCTATTTAAAAGAAGAGAAGCAAATTCTTATGTACAGGCAGGTGATGCAGAGCTCATGGCAGCACTATTTTATCTTATTGCATCCTCCAACTTGAAAAGATTCCTGTTTGGTGTATTGAGAAATCTATTCTGTTTGTTTTTCAAACAGTGGGGCCAGGAAAATGCTGAACAAAGCCCTGGTACAGTCACTTTTAATCTAGAGTGTAGCTCTTTATTTCACATGTTTAGGTCTCCTGCATGGTTTAAAAGAAAAAGCAAAATAATCCATCAGTGTCACCTATTTGTGCGTATTGTTTCTTTCCCATTTTCTTTTTTTGTCCAGGCCTCAGCCTGGGTTCAAAACATTTTTTTAACCTCCAAATAATTGTTGCTCCTTCAAGCCAGGAGTAGAAAGCAGCGATATTTCTTTATAAAAATGTATCAATGGCTGCAATGTTGGTTTTTTTTTTTCCAGGCTTTTGTAGGAGTTTGAGCAACCCATAGGCAAAAAGGCAATCGGGTTTATTATTGCTGGGAATCTCCAGGCGGTTGTTTGGAGGCTGCAAAGGCAGGCGGCAGAGCTGGGAAGAGGGGGAGAGAAGGGCCACATTATGTTCCAGATGACTGAGCAAGGATTTATATACCAGCTCTCCTTTTTTTTTTTTTTCCCTCCCCCCCTTTTTTTTTTTTTAACATGGGAGAAGAAAAGTAATAAGAGCGGGGAGGCATTTGAAGCGGTCAGATGGCCGATGACTAATGGGATAGGTGGGCAGGAGCCCGCGGATTGGGTGTCTTAATGAGCACATTTCGCACCGAGTTTGGGCTGCAGTTCCCCTTCACCTTTGCCCTTTATTGACCGAACTGACACTTCATTTTTCACATACTTCCAATTATGGCTGAGCTTAAGTGTTGCCCTGCCTCCTTTCTTTCTTGCCTATGGACGGCTTGAGAGTGGCTGAGGCCACGGAAGATATTTTAATTTGAAAAACTACCATAGCAAGGCAGGTTTAGGGTGTAACCTGAAACTGCTGTCACTTGGCAGTTTCTCCGATGAAAACAAAAGTTTTAATGTTTCTTGTTTAGCGCTTCCCCCCCACCCCCCACTCCTTCTCTGTGGTGAGGTGGGCAATTGCTTTGGGAGCCAATGGGTTGGTGATGGGTGTTTTCCTTGGGGTAAATCCTTTCTGGCAGTACAGGTGTCCTGGGTGGGAGTCACCCAAGTAAAGAGGCAAACCCAAGTGAAAAGCAGTGCCGTGCTTGAACGATGGCTCCTTGTTCCCTCCCAATGCGGCGTCTTCTCAAATGGCTTCTTGTGGTGTGACGCCCTGCAATGTCCTTTGCAGGACATGCTCTCCTCATGGAAAAGCAGAACATCATTGTGCTTGCACTTCTCAAGCCTTAGACCAGCGTGAGTTTGTTGTTTTGGTAATATTTGATGCATGAATGCAGATTTGAGTGTGGCCTGGCTGTGAAGCTTTGTGAAGTGGCTGAAAATGATGCTGGGAGAGGCAGGTGGGATGAGGAGATGGACGAATCTGCAGTCACCCCTTTGCTGTACAGGGAGAACCCTGATATATCTCCCACTGCTCAAGCCTGTGTGCATTTCCACGTTGGCTTTTACATGCAGAATCCTTCCAGGGCGGAAATGTCTGTTTGCTTTTGC